CGGCCCCCTCTGGCACCCTGTCTGGTCTTTACCTCCCCTCGTTCTCTACGAACTTGGTGAATGGTGCTAACCTACAGGATGCGGGGGTTCACCAGTTCACTCCTGCGAGTCAGCGGGTGACCCACTGCACGGACGCTCGAACAGGCCGACACCTGGCCACGTTTACACGTCGGCCGGGGTCGAGCCTGTACACACTGACCACTGCGTCTCCTCCAGTCCCTGCGTCTGGTCAGGTAGCTGCGTCGGGTCAGGTGTTAGCTGCAGTGTCTAGGTCTGGTCCTGAGTCTGCCCCCTGCTCGTGTCGCCTCTTGTCTCACGAGACTCTCCTCAGGCACCACCGCCTTGGTCACCCCTCCCTGCTTTGTCTCCGAAGCACGGCCTCCCGTGTCCTTGTCTCTGGTCTTCCCCGGTCCCTCCCTCCCCTTCCTCCGGGGCCTGGCCCTACCTGCGTCCCCTGTGTTGAGGGGCAGCAGCGTGCTGCCCCTCACTCCTCCCAGTTTCCTCCGATAGAGGCCCCGTTGCAGACGCTTCACATGGACATGTGGGGCCCAGCCCGCGTTCGTGGACAGGGTCACGAGCGCTACTTCCTGCTGGTGGTTGACGACTACTCGCGTTACACCATGTCAGAACATTATAGCTTATGCTATTATGTAGGCTATAGTGGGGTATCCCATAGGGGGTACAACACAACTAGGGTTTCATATTTGTACTCGCTTCATTCATAGTTCATTCATTCTCGTTCAACTTTTCTCACACCACAGTCTTCCCCTTGCGCAGCAAGGGTGATGTCACTGAGGTGTTGATCGATTGGATCCGCGCAGCTCGTCTCCAGCTCAGGCAGAGCTTCGGCTCGGACTTTCCTGTTCTGCGTCTGCACTCTGACAGAGGCGGAGAGTTCTCCTCTGGCCTTCTGCGAGCCTACTGTCGTGCACGAGGCATCCGCCAGACCTTCACGCTTCCGGACTCTCCACAGCAAAATGGGATTGCTGAGCGCCGCATTGGCATGGTCATGGACGTCGCCCGTACGTCCATGATGCATGCGGCTGCCCCCCATTTTCTGTGGTCGTTTGCGGTTCGGTACGCGGCGCATCAGATCAACCTTCAGCCCAGGGTCTCCATGCCGGAGACCTCCCCAGCTTTGCTGTGGACGGGGAAGGTTGGCGATGCGTCTGCGTTCCGTGTCTGGGGATCTCGGGCGTTTGTCCGCGACTTGTCTGCGCACAAGCAGTCCCCTTGTGCTGCTCCTTGCGTCTTCCTGGGTTTCCCCCCTGACGCGCCAGGGTGGCAGTTCTACCACCCCACCTCTCGCCGTGTTCTATCCTCCCAGGACGTCACGTTCGACGAGTCGGTCCCCTACTACCGTCTCTTCCCCTACCGCACTCCGTCCCTGCCCCCGCCACCGCTCTTCCTTGTGCCAGGTCCCCCCCCGGTAGACCCCCTCCCCCCTCAGGGTCCTGCCCCTTCAAGTGTGTCCCAGGTAGACGTTGTTGAGCCTGTCGAGGTCGCTGGTGACTCTGGTGTTGCTGAGGGTGCTGAGCCTGGGGGTGCTGAGCGTGTGGGTGCTACGCCTGGGGGTGCTGAGCATGAGGGTATTACGACTGGGGGTGCTGAGCCTGGGGGTGCTGAGTCTGGGGGTGCTGAGCTTGGAGGTGCTACACCTGGGGGTGCTGAGCCTGGGGGTGCTGAGCCTGGGGGTGCTACGCCTGGAGGTGCTGAGCCTGGGGGTACGGAGCCTGAGATAGCTGGGCCTGCTGGTGCTGTGCGTGGCGGTTCTCCGGGTGCTTCTTCTTGTCGGGAGCCACTCTCTCCACAGGAGCTGCGTGAGTGGTTTGCCCGGCGCTGGAGGCGAGCTGCTGGAGCTGGAGGTGCTGCGGGTACTGGAGGTTCTGTTGCTGTTGAGGGAGCTGGTGCCACGGGTCCCGGAGGTTCTCGTACTGGGAGTACTGGAGCTGCTGGACCTGCGGGTACTTCTCGAGCTGGAGCTGCTGGACCTGCGGGTACTTCTGGAGCTGGAGCTGCTGCGGGTGTTGGCGCGGAGGCTACTGCTGTCGGTCCTGGAGGCGGTCCTGCTGGGGGTACTACTGGTGCTGCTGGGGGTACTGGAGCTGGAGCTGCTACTTGTGCTGGTGCTGCCACTAGGGGTACTGATGTTGTCCGTGCTATGTCTAAAGTCGCCGCGCGGCCTCGGCCGTACTTCGTTCCGCTCCTTCAGCAGGTTCTTGGTCTCCTGTCTTCTACTGGTCCTCCTCCTCCCTTAGAGTGTCCACAGCCTGTCCCGTCGCCGTGACAGTTACAGCCGACCTCCCCACTGCCTGCTCCGTCTCCCTACACTGGTCCTACTGGAGGTCTTGCTGAGCGTCGTGAGCCTGCGTCTCGCCCTGCGTCGCCTGTCCGTGCTGCTCGCACTAGTGGTCGCGGTTCGCGTCAGCGTCCTCCTCCTGTCCCTGGCACGCACCGGATGTCTCTGCGTCCGTCCACTGCTCCTCTGCATGCCCCTTTGCCTTCTCCTCCTGAGTCTTCTCTTCCTGCTCTTGCCGACCCGGAGTCGGACTCTCTTCATGCTGCCAGTCCTACTGTCACGCGTCTCCTTGCTACTGTTGTCACTGACCCTTCCTTTGAGTCCACTGCTGCGTCTGCCCTAGTTGCTGAGCTCGTCGACTTTGCTGCTCGCTGTCGCCTAGACTACGCCGCCAGTCTTGTTGCTGAGTCTGAGTTTGTCTGTCCTCCGTCCGTCGGGGGTGAGTGTGCCCTTGGCACGGACGTCCTTGAGGACAGGCAGGAGTTCCAGTGCTTGGCCGCTGCTTCACCTCATCTCGTGTCCGTACTGCTTACCCCTGAGGGAGACCCGGATGCACTTGACATCCCGACTCCGCGCTCTTACGCGGAGGCGATAGAGGGTCCCTACTCTTCTCAGTGGCAGGCAGCTATGGACGCAGAGATGGCTCCCTGGAAGTCCACAGGCATCTACGTTGACGCTGTTCCCCCTCCTGGGGCGAACATCGTCAGTGGCATGTGGATTTTCAGGGTGAAGCGACCGCCGGGTTCTCCGCCTGTCTTCAAGGCGCGTTGCGTGGCTTGTGGCTTCAGTCAGTGGCAGGGAGTTGACTACTTTCAGACCTTCTCTCCCACCCCGAAGATGACCACTCTTCGGGTACTGCTGCACATAGCTGCTCACCGTGACTACGAGCTACACTCTCTTGACTTCAGCACTGCTTTCTTGCAGGGCAGCCTGCACGAGGAGATCTGGCTGCGTCGCCCACCTGGTTTCACTGGGTCTTTTCCTCCTGGCACCCAGTGGAGCCTCCGTCGGCCAGTCTACGGTCTCCGCCAGGCACCGCGTGAGTGGCAAGACACACTGAGGACTACACTTGCGGCTCTTGGGTTTGCTCCCTCTACTGCCGACCCGTCGCTGTTTCTGCGCACCGACACTTCTTTGCCGCCGTTCTACATCCTCGTGTACGTCGACGACTTGGTCTTTGCCACAGCTGACACTGCTGGACTCGCCCACGTGAAGTCCAAGCTGCAGAAGAGACACACGTGCACTGATCTGGATGAACTGCGCAGCTACCTTGGCTTGCAGATCACTCGGGATAGAGCATGCCGCACCATTACCCTGACTCAGTCACACATGGTGCAGCAGGTCCTTCAGCGCTTCGGCTTCACGTACTCCTCGCCTCAGGCCACTCCTCTGCCTACTCGCCACTCGCTCTCAGCTCTGCCTTCAGATGAGTCCGTAGAGTTGAGTGGCCCGTACCCAGAGCTTATTGGCTGCCTCATGTTCTTGATGACCTGCACACGACCTGACCTTGCATACCCTCTTAGCATTCTCGCACGCTATGTTGCTCCTGGGAGACACAGACCGGAGCACATGGCTGCAGCGAAGAGGGTGTTGCGCTACTTGTGCAGTACGTCGGGCATGGGGCTTGTGCTTGGAGGGCAGAGTCCAGTGGTCCTTACTGGGCACGCAGCGGTCGTCAAAGGGTTACACCTTCAGCCTTGGTTCCGGCTCTGTTTCTTGGCGGGCTACTCGCTCGTCTTCTGTTCTCGGCTCCAGTTGTGAGGCTGAGATCTACGCAGGGGCCATGGCTGCACAGGAGCTTCGCTGGCTCACCTACCTGCTGACTGACCTCGGAGAGCCGCCTCGTTCTCCTCCAGTGCTGTACGTAGACAACAAGGCCATGCTGGCCTTGTGTCGGGAGCAGCAACTAGAGCACAGAACGAAGCACATTGCTCTCCGCTACTTTCTTGCTCGAAAGCTGCAGCAGCGTGGTCAGCTGCGTCTTGCGTACGTGGCCTCTGAGGCCAACACTGCTGATATCTTCACCAAGGCGCTTGCGCCTTGTGACCATCGGCGGTTCTGTACTCAGCTGGGCCTTGTGCCTACCTTGCCTCACTTGCTCACCTCTTGACCTTGCTTGTACTGTTACATATATATATACATGCTCTTGCTTGTCTAGTCTTCTTTATATATATGTACTCCTGCATGTGAATTGGCCTTGTGGCCTTGAACTTGTGCTCGGAATGTGTGGTGACTTTGTGATCCACCCTGAGCTTGCTTTGCTTTGCTTTGCTTGACTGGTCTTGTGACCCCTTGTTCTCCCCCACTTTGCCTATGGGGGTGTGTCAGAACATTATAGCTCATGCATATTGTGTAGGCTATAGTGGGGTAGCCCATAAGGGGTACAACCCAATTAGGGTTAGTACTTGTGCCCAATTCATTCATAGTTCATTCATTCTCGTTTCTTCTCAGAGATGCGGTGGCCAGGCTGTGCAAGGTCCTCGGCGCTTGCATCGTGCTGCTTTGGGAGCACAATCACAAGGCGTACGAGATTGTCACCTGCTACAAGTTTCAGTTGTGCTTGTTTTTCTTGGCCGACATCTTGGCGGACATGAACGACCTCAACCGTTGCTTCCAGAGACGAGAGGTGAGGTCGCATGTTTGTATGATGTTGCTACGTGAGGTTCGTAACTGCACTGTTGCTCATCCTTCTCCCTCTTGTCTACCCCTGCTCTGACACAGCTGGACGTGACTGAGATTGCGAAGACGATCGAGTCCACAAGAGTAGTCCTCAGTGTGTCGTGCCACTCACGTGGCGCCTGGCGGAGACTGTAGACTGGCCGCCGGAGGCTCCACTGGGTACCAGGAGGAAACGACCCAGTGAAGCCAGGAGGGCGGCGCAGCCAGATCTCCTCGTGCAGGCTGCCCTGCAAGAAAGCTGTGCTGAAGTCAAGAAAGTGAAGCTCATAGTCACGCTGAGCAGCAACGTGCAGTAGCCCCCGAAGAGTGGTCATCTTCGGGGTGGGGGAGAAGGTCTGAAAGAAGTCTACTCCCTCTCGCTGACTGAAGCCTCGAGCAACGTAATGAGCCTTGAAGACAGGCGGAGAACCCGGCGGCCGCTTCACTCTGAAAATCCACATGCCACTGACGATGTTCGCCCTAGGAGGGGGAACCTCGTCAACGTAAGTGCCAGTGGACTTCCAGGATGCCATCTCTGCATCCATAGCTGACTGACACTGAGAGGAGTACTCAGCCGCGATCGCCTCAGCGTAAGAGCGCGGGGTCGGGATGTCTGGAGCATCCGGGTCTCCCTGAGGGGCAATCAGCATGGACATGAGATGAGGAGCAGCGACTGCAAGACACTCAAGGTCCTCCTGTCTGTCCTCAAGGACGTCCGTGCCTAGAGCACACTCACCCCCGACGGACGGAGGACAGGCAGACTCAAACTCAGTAACAAGACTGGCAGCGTAGTCTAGATGACTGTGAGCAGCAAAGTCGATAAGCTCAGCAACTAGGGCAGACGCAGCAGCAGACTCAAAGGAAGGGTCAGTGACAACAGTGGCCAGGAGACGCGTGACAGTAGGACTGTTAGCACAAAGAGAGTCAGACTCAGGGTCAGCAAGGACAGGAAGAGAGGACTCAGGAGGTGACCGCAGAGGGACACGCTGTGGAGCAATGGAAGGACGCAGAGTCATAAAGTGTGTGCCAGGCACAGGAGGGGGACGCTCACGCTGACCATGGCGACAAGTGCGAGTAGCACGAGCAGGTGACACAGGACGCGACACAGGCGACACAGGACGAGACTCAGGCTCACAATGCTCTGTAAGACCGCCTGTCGGACCAGTGTAGGGAGAAGGACCAGGAAGTGGCAAGGCAGGTGGGAGCTGGGACTGCGACTGGACAGGCGGAGGACACTCTAAGGAGGGAGGAGGACTAGGAGGAGGCGGCAGACCAAGAACCTGCTGAAGGAGCGGAACGAAGTACGGCCGCGGCCGTGAAGCGCCTCCAGAAACAGTAGAGACAGCACCAGAACCTCCAGTCGAACCAGCACCAGCAGCACCTCCAACAGCTCCAGAGCCTCCACCAGCACCGGCAGTACCTCCAGCAGCTCCAGAACCTCCAGCAGCACCTCCAGCCGCTCCAGGACCTCCAGCAGTACCAGCAGTACCTCCAAGACCTCCAGTAGCACCGCCAGCACCTCCAACAGCAGGGCCTCCAGCCGGCGGTACCTCAACGCTAGGAGCTCCACTCCTGAGGCTGCAGCGCCGAGCGTACCACTCACGTAGCCGCTGAGGGGAGGGAGGCTCTGGCTGCGGCACTGCACCTGCGAGGCCACCAGCCCCGACTCCAGTAGACTCCCCAGCTCCAGCAGCGCCACGACGGAGGCTGTAGCGCTGAGAGTACCACTCACGCAACTGCTGTAAAGAGCCACCAGGCTCAGCACCCCTAGTCTCAGCACCCCCAGTCTCAGCACCCCCAGTCTCAGCACCTCCAGGCTCAGCACCCAAAGTCTCAGCACCCCCAGGCCCAGCACCCCCAGACTCCGCACCCCCAGGCTCAGCACCCCCAGTCTCAGTGCCCCCAGACCCAGCACCACCAAGCTCAGCACACTCAGTACCTCGCGCAGGACCAGAGTCAACCGCTACCTCGACAGGCTCGACCGGGTCTACCTGGGAAACACCTGAGGGAGCAGCACCCTGGGGAGGGAGGGGGTCTACCGACGGGACACCTGGGGTGAGGAAGAGCGGGGGGGGGGGGGGGAGCGGGGCAGTGCGGTAGGGGAAGAGACGGTAAAAGGGTACCGACTCGTCGAAGGTGACGTCCTGAGAGGCGAAGACACGGCGCGAGGTGGGGTGGTAAAACCGCCAGCCAGGCGCGTCAGGGACAAAGCCCAGGCTGACACAGGGAACCGCACGGGAGGAGAGTTTGTCCGCGGACGTGTCGCGGACAAAGGCTCGACATCCCCAGACTCGGAACACCGACGCGTCGCCAACCTCCCCCGTCCAACGCAGGGTAGGCGAGGTCTCCGGAACGGAGACACGGGGCCAGAGGTTGAGCTGATGCGCGGCGTACTACACTGCAAACGGCCACAGGAAATGGGGGGCAGCCGCATGGATCATGGAGGTACGAGCGACCTCCATGACAGGACCAATGCGGCGCTCAGCAACCCCATTCTTCTACGGAGAGGCCGCGAGAGTGAACGTCTGGCGGATGCCGTGCTCCGCACAGTAGGCTGCCAAGAGGTCAGAGGAAAACTCGCCACCTCTGTCAGAGTGCAGACGTAGGACAAGAAAGTCCGACTGGAACCGCTGGCGGAGCTGGAGACGAGCAGCGCGGATCTAGGGGATCAAGACATCAGGGACCTCACTCTTGGTACGCAAGGGGAAGACCGTGGTGTAGCGCGTGTAGTCGTCGACGACCAGCAGAAAGTACCGCTCGTGGCCCTGTCCCCGGACGCGGGCGGGGCCCCACACGTCCAGGTGAAGAGTCTGCAGGGGAGTCTCTGTGGGAGGGAACGAGGAGGAGTGAGGAGCGGCACATTGCCGCCCCTCGACACAGGGAAGACAGGGAGGAGCAGGCGAGGATGATAGGGGAGGGAGAACTCTGGGAAGACCAGAGACAAGGAACCTAGAGTGCATGCCGCGAAGGCGCTGCACGCACGGGTGACCAAGGCGGTGGTGCCAGAGGACAGTCCAGTGCGACAGGGAGCGACACGAGCAGGGGGCCGACAGCTGACCTGACGCAGACGCGGACGCAGCTACCTGAGGGGACTCAGTGGTCAGGGTGTACAAGTCTGACCCCGGCTGCCGAGTTAAGGTAGCCAGGTGACGACCCGTCCGGGCACACGTGCAGTGCGTCACACGCTCGTAGGCCGGGGTGAACTGGTGAACACCCGCGTCCTAGAGCGCGGAACCCGCCACCAAGTTCATAGAGAACGAGGGGAGGTAGAGGCCCGACAGCGTGCCAGACGGGACAGCAGGACAAGGGAGGGCAGTGGTGGAGGTCGCAAGGACCGGACCCCCTGAGGGGTCAGCCAGGGAGACAGCAACCGGTCTAGGGAGCTGCTCTAGGGCAGTGCGGTCGCGAAAGAAACAGCGGGAAGCACCTGAGTCCAGTGTGAAGGTGTGAAGTGCCTCAGTAGGTGCGGTACCAGCAGACGCAGACGCACTAGCACCTAGGGCAGCAGCCTCACCAGGACCTGGAGCAGCAGACGCACTAGCACCTAGAGCTGCAGCCTCACCGGTCTCAATACCTGGGTCGGGCGATACACTCAGGTAACAGTCACCCTCAACACTAATAGTCAATGCATACATAGCAGCAAGGATAGCATCATAATCAAGAGCAAAGATATCAATTCCCTTCTTAAGCAGATCAGCCCAGCGGGGCAGCTCAGAGGCGTCAGGGAACTGCTCGCGCCAGGCGTCGTCGAGGCGAAAGAAGCAGCGCTGTGCCGTGTGAAACCTCCCACACGTCTGGCCAGTGCGGTCACCTGTGCGGATGACGTACGGGCAAGTACCCCCACCCCCAGACCCCCCACGCTGAGAGTACCACTCACGGAACTGCTGGGGCAAGGGAGTCTCACCGGGACGCTGCTGCTGCTGCCTCTGGCCACCGCCGAACCCCCCCCGCTGTACCGCTCCACCGCGCCCGCCACCCGTTCCACCGCCGCCACTACTGCCACCACCACCCCCACCACCTCCACCATCGCCGCCTCCACCACCCCCTGTGCCGCCACCGACCCCCCCACCACCCGCGCCACTCCCACCTCCTCCACCACCCCCGCCCCCTCCACCCCCTCCACCGCCGCCGCCCCCGCGTCCACCTCCACCACCCCTGCCCCCCTTGCCCCTACCGCCCTTGCGCCTCCCACTAGGAGCAGACGCAGCCCTGACCCCCTCAGCTCCGAGGAAGTCGACAGCAGCAGCAGAGGCAATGGAGGGGAGGAGGGGGACGGGAGAGCACCCCTCAAAGAAGGGGGCGCGAGGGTCGCCACGAGAGGCACCTACAGCTACAATGCTCTTCTCAGCTGCTAGGAGTTCCTTCTCGAGGAGGTCGACAGTGAGGTCAGCGGGGGAGAGAGCTAGAAAGTGGTCCCTGATTGTGCGAAGGGAGTCGGGGAGGCGCGTGACAAGGTGGTACAGTGTGAGGTACATTGGGGGGGGGTTCTTGGCGAGGAAGTTTGGGGGGAGTGCGGCACGGTAGCGGAGGTCACTGGTACGGAGGTGGGTGATGAGGTCAGCTACAGTGGTAAAGGCGGACATGTCGGGGAAGAGGTAGGACAGTGAGAGACGGCCTATAGCAGCAGTGGCAGGGGAGGAGTAGCGCGCGACTACTGCGTCGTACAGCTCCTTAGCGGTCTTATGCTGGCCAAAGTGCTCGCGAACGGCAGGTGGGCGTGAGCATCACGAGTCTGCCACTGGGAGCGAGCAGTACTGTCAGCAGTAGCGGGAGGTGCGGGAGCAGTGCCTGACGTGTGGTCGTACAGGGAGACATCGTCCTTGGCAGTGATCTGGAGGAACAGGTGGAGGTCATCAAGCCAGACATCGAACTTAATCGGGCGGCCCTCGGCGTCAAAGGTGAGAACAGTGGGACTGGCCATAGTGGCAGGAGTAGGAGTAGCAGTAGTAGAATCAGTAGTAGGAACAGTAAGAGTAGTAGCAGTAGCAGTGGCAACAGTAGGTGCTGCAGGTGGGGCGGCGCGGCTCGGGCGGCGCGGCTCGGTCAGGGCGTCGCGGCTCGGGCGGCGCGGCTCGGGCAGGGAGGGCGGCGCGTCGGCGGGCCTAGTGACAGTGCGCGGCGGCGCCTAGGATGCAGCTGCGCGGGGGGCCGCTGCTGCGTTCGTGCGGGCGGCGGCGATCGTGCGGGCGGCGGGCTAGCACGGGCGGCGGCCTAAGGGGACGCGGCGGCTGCACGGGGCGGTCGACGAGCGGCTGACGGGCCGCGCTAAGGGCCGCGCGAGGCCATAGAGGTGGCGCGAGCAGCTAGCGGGCCGCGCACCTAAGAAACAGGCCGCCCGCGAGCGGCTAGCGGGCGACGCAACCTAAAAACGGGCCGCGCGCGCGGGCTTCTAGCGGCTGCACACGGGCAACTGAAGAGAAAACGAGGGCGCACGAGGGCGCACTAGGAGCGAGGCGCACGAGGGCGCTAGGAAGGACGGTGCACGAGGGCGCTTCGAGCGGAAACGGTGGGCCCTTAGGAACGGTCCTAGGTTCCTAACCTAGGCTCGTAATACCATGTCAGAATGAGAGAAGTGAATGGACTAGACAACATTGCAGTACAAGTATGAAACCCTAAAAGTTGTGTACCCCCTATAGGCTAACCCACTATAGTCTACACAGCAATGACACATATATAGTGTTTGACAACAGGGCGGCGCGACGGGTAGGGCAGAGCAGCGCACAGCCAGCAGAGTGGCGCGCGGTAAGGGTAGGGCAGCGCGAGGCTAGCAGGGCTGCGCAATGGGTGGGGTAGCGCGATAGGCAGGGTAGGGTGCTACGGGCAGGGTAACGCGCTACGGGCAGCAAATCATACGGTGGGCAAAAAAAAAACCGGTCCTGGGACAGGACCTGCTCTAAAACCATGTCAGAATACTAAGCGAGAATGAAAGCATTGAACAGAAATGTGGTACAAGTACTAATCCTTATTGGGCTGTACCCCATATGGGCTACCCCAGTACAGCCTACATAACACATACAACATAATAGTTTGACATATAAAAATCCCGCTTGCTCTATTTTCTATTTAATATTATTTATCAGTGAGAAACATCATAACAGCGCGAATAAATTTGTACTGCTGTTGGTTTGTAATGCTTGCGAGTCGTTTCACAGCGCAGACATAAATTTCGCTCGTATGATTGGTTCCCAATGGCTGGGAGCGATTCGCTGCGACAACTGGGCAGTTTCAATGCGGTGACTTAACGGTTGATTGAGGGTAACCTCGAGGCCACAACGAAGGTGATTTTGGGTCGAGGTTACCGCAGGGTGTCCTATACTGAGCCCTTTCGATTACCCACAGCGGGGTAACTTACAAGAAACATGGGGGTAGGAATTTTCGATCTCATATATATATATATATATATAGATGTGTGTATATATTTATACATTTTAATGTTTCTCCCTGTGAGAATTGAGGAAAATGAAGAAGAGAGGGGTTCACTAGCAAACATTGGGATACATATAGCAAACCCTAAAAGGGTTGTACTCACTATAGAGTACCCCACAGCAGACTAGAGAAACATAATATTATGACACACCCCCATAGTCAAAGTGGGGTGTAATCAGCACAACAAGCAAAGCAGAACAAGCTCAGGGTGGATCACAATGTCACCACACATTCTGAGCACAAGTACAAGAAGTAACAGTTTAAAGTTCACAAATGTAAGCCATGCTAGAGGCTATCGCAGAGGGCAAGTGTGGAGGAGGAGGGACTATGAGAGGAGAGGAGGTAGTGGGCGGCAGCTGAAGCTGCTGGCACATGGCGCAACTGGAGCAACTGGCACACGGGCAACTGGAGCAACTGGCACACTGGCAACAGGAGCAACGGGCACACGGGCTACTGGAGTAACTGGCTCCGCGGCTAACTCTGAGCGGCAGGAGCAACAGACTCACGGGCGACTGGAGCAACAGGCTCACGGGCGACTGGCGCAACGGGCTCACGGGCGACTGGCGCAACGGTCTCACGGGCGACTGGAGCTGCGGGCTTCACGGCGGCCACCCCCTTCAACCTCCCCAAACTATCCCACCCCATTTCACACCCCCTACTGCACCCCTAGGTTCACTCACACCCCACCCCCTAGCACCACTCCGTCGACTCCCACACACCCACCCCCCTCAGCGGCAGCTGCAGCAGTGGGAGACAGAGGAGGAGGAGGAGGAGCAGGGGAGACCACACACCCGCCACCCCCTACTCGCCACCCACAGACCCTAACACAGGGCAGGGCGGGACGGCGGGTAGGGAGGTTACGGGGGGGGGGGGCGACGTGCGGCCTCCCAGGGCGCCAAAACAGGCGGCAGAAGGGGCGGCGCTCGCCCCCCTCCCCCAGGTGGCCCCTGAGGGAGCCGCGACGGGCGACGGGAAAAGGGGGGGGGGGGCGGTGCACGTGCCCCCGGTGCGCCGCCACTGGCGACGAAGCATGGCCGGGGCGGGGCCGGGGCAGGGTCGAGGAAGGGCCGTAAGGGGCGGCGACGGGGCCGCAAGTGGCGGCGACGGGGCTGCTGGAGGCGGCGACGGGGCTGATAGGGGCGGCGACGGGGCCGCTAGGGTCGGCGACGGGGCCGCTGGCGGCGACGGGGCAGCTAGGGCCGGCGACGGGGCCGCTGGCGGCGGCGACGGGGCCGTTGGTGGCGGCGACGGGGCCGCTGGCGGCGGCGACGGGGCCGATAGGGGCGGCGACGGGGCCGCTATGGTCGGCGACGGGGCCGCTATGGTCGGCGACGGGGCCGCTGGCGGCGGCGACGGGGCCGATAGGGGCGGCGACGGGGCCGCGAATGGGCCGCGAGGGGCCTGAGAGGTCGGTGACGGGGCCGCTGGCGGCGGCAACGGGACCGCTAGGGGCGGCGACGGGCCGTGAAAGGGGCGGCGACGGGGCTGCGAAGGGGCCGCGAGGGGCCTGGAAGGGCGGCAACGGGGCCGCTAAGAGTAGCGCGAGGGGCACGCCACGGGGCGTGAAGCACACAGAGTAGCAGCGGAAGTAGTTGGGTGGGCCCACAGGCCAGGAGCGTAGATGCTCTGATAGCATGTGAGGATTGAGGAAAATGAAGAAGAGAGGGGTTCACTAGCAAACAATGGGATACATATAGCAAACCCTAAAAGGGTTGTACTCACTATAGAGTACCCCACTGCAGACTAGAGAAACATAATATTCTGACACTCCCCTTGAGCGGCTTTGCTTGCAACTGTCAAGGTTCGGTTTAGGTCACCATTCCGCTAAATCCAAAGGCCGTAGCATATGCTCGCACCAGTGAGAAGGTCGAAAAAGATGGTGTATAATGAAGTGTACGGTACGGGCTTGCTGACCTTATTTTATTCGAATTGCCTAATTGAACCATACCGAAACATAATCTAACCACATTTCACCATGTTTTTGAGAAAATGAGAACGAGAATGAATGATATATGAATGACCTGAGTACAAGTACTAACCCTAATTGGGTTGTACCCCTTATGGGCTACCCCACTATAGCCTACACAATAAGCACAAGCTATATGTTCTGACACACCCCCATAGGCAAAGTGGGGGAGAACAAGGGGTCACAAGACCAGTCAAGCAAAGCAAAGCAAAGCAAGCTCAGGGTGGATCACAAAGTCACCACACATTCTGAGCACAAGTTCAAGGCCACAAGGCCAGTTCACATGCAGGAGTACATATATATATAAAGGACTAGACAAGCAAGAGCAGGTGTATATATATGCAACAGTACAAGCAAGGTCAAGAGGTGAGCAAGTGAGGCAAGACAGGCACAAGACCCAGCTGCGTGCAGAAGCGCTGATGATCACAAGGCGCAAGTGCCTTGGTGAAGACATGAGCAGTGTTGGCCTCAGAGGCCACGTACGCAAGCCGCAACTGACCACGCTGCTGTAGCTCACGAGCAAGGAAGTAGCGAAGAGCAATGTGCTTTGTTCTGTGCTCCAGTCTCTGCTCTCGACACAAGGCCAGCATGGCCTTGTTGTCTACGTACAGGACTGGAGGAGAACGAGGCGACTCTCCAAGGTCGGTCAGCAGGTAGGTGAGCCAGCGAAGCTCCTGTGCAGCCATGGCCCCGCCGTAGATCTCAGCCTCACAAGTGGAGCCGAGAACAGAAGACGAGCGAGTAGCTCGCCACGAAACAGAGCCGGAACCAAGGCTGAAGGTGTAACCCTGTGACGACCGCTGCGTAGCCTGGTCGTCACCCCAAGAAGCGTCCGCGTGCCCAGTGAGGACTACTGGACTCCGCCCTCCAAGCACTAGCCCCATGCCCGACGTACTGCACAAGTAGCGCAACACCCTCTTCGCTGCAGCCATGTGCTCTGGTCGGTGTCTCCCAGGAGCAACATAGCGTGCGAGAATGCTAAGAGGGTATGCAAGGTCAGGTCGTGTGCAGGTCATCAGGTACATGAGGCAGCCAACAAGCTCTGGATACGGGCCACTCGACTCTACGGACTCATCCGAAGGCAGAGCTGAGAGCGAGTGGCGAGTAGGCAGAGGAGTGGCCTGAGGCGAGGAGTACGTGAAGCCGAAGCGCTGAAGGACCTGCTGCACCATGTGTGACTGAGTCAGGGTAATGGTGCGGCATGCTCTGTCCCGAGTGATCTGCAAGCCAAGGTAGCTGCGCAGTTCACCCAGGTCAGTGCACGTGTGTCTCTTCTGCAGTTCAGACTTCACGTAGGCGAGTCCAGCAGTGTCAGCTGTGGCAAAGACCAAGTCGTCGACGTACACGAGGATGTAGAACGGCGGCAGAGAAGTGTCGGTGCGCAGAAACAGCGACGGGTCGGCAGTAGAAGGAGCAAACCCAAGAGCCGCAAGCGTAGTCCTCAGTGTGTCGTGCCACTCACGTGGCGCCTGGCGGAGACCGTAGACTGGACGCTGGAGACTCCACTGGGTACCAGGAGGGAAAGACCC